ATCATTTTGTCTGGTCGTCAACAGAGACAGCAGGGCATGGTTCTCGGCCAAGCAGTCCAGCCTTGTTACCTGCAGGCTCATACATAGATACTGTATGTCTTTCAGATGCTTCAACAGCAACAATGCTTATTGATTTTGTATCAGCTGCACTTGTTCAAGAAAGCCTGTGACGTCAAGGGACGGTACTGCCCGACGTTGCAAACAATTCTCTCCCGACTACAAACGGATCTGTTAGTGAGTTGACCCTCCCCACTGGTATCACCTTCAATGCATACAGTGCAGAACAGCAAGCAACAATTTGCAGCTTCCTCCACGCTGTTGGTGTTAGAGAGATGCAGACTGATGTACTTACAGGGCCAGCTTCCTAGAGCACAGTGTTTTAAATAAAGTTACTTTTATTAAAAACAAACATTGTAAACAAGATAATAATACATTTCTAGTTTGTATTATTAAATAATAGTCATTACTTTTATTAAAAACAAACATTATATTATTAAACAATAGTCATTCATATTTTTAAAACAGTTATTATAAGTAGAATGTATTGTACTTATTAATCTTATATTATTATAAATAGTCTTAAGTATTATTATAACTATTTATAAGAATTATTAGTAGTTTTAATAATAGAGTATTTGTTTATTAATAATAATAATAATTGTATGAATGTGTATATTTTTAAATATAGTCATGAGTAAAGTAACAAATGAGGGGTGGAATTAGCCATGAATTTTTAAATAATTTTAGCAGGTACTAGTGTATTGACAGGTTTCACTGTACACAAATAGATAATATTGCCTTACAACTATGAGTCTTACCTAATATGTAAGATCTTATCTAGTGTGAAGATATGAGATGTATACTGTATCTATTTGTACAGGTACAACTACTATGTAGACTCTGGAAAAGTTGTGTTTGTAAGTATCACATATACACCTGGGTACAGATTACTTTTTACTATTAAAAGTGTAATGTATTTAATAAATGCATACAATGTATGAAAGAGTTCATTTTTGTGCCTGGTTCTTCTTTTTATTTAATTATGCATCTGATATTATAACACTGGGTTAAGACTCTTATAAAAATTTAACCTTGGTTAACCTATACAAATTTATACAATACTAATATCCAATTACCTTTGATTTGATCTCAATAATAGAGTTCTGCATTTCTTAACAACTAACTACTGAACCAACATACAAAGGCCATCCCCCTCTTAGTCACAATAGTAGGGCAAAATTAGAAATGCTAGAGCCAAACCTGTAATTAAGTCTTTAACTGGCTATAAACAAGTTGCCAACCCTAATTTGGACACAAATTAACCACCTATTTACTTAATTCAACTTGTTTATAAATGCTGTATGCATCCGTCCTCTGTTACTTACATAGTCCCTGCTCTCAGTAATCTCAAGTTTTCCTTCTGCGTGGGAAAACCACAAATAAGACTTGTATTTGTATTCCAGTGTCTGTTATAGCACAGCACCTGTCTACTATTAGAAATAGTCTGGACTTCGATGGACAAGTGCGAACCCGAACCATTATACACTTACATGTAGATTGACAAGCTAGGTAATGGAAGCAGCTGAAGCAGTCGAAAGAAAATAGAATCACTCAGTTTCCATACGATGCTGCATGAATAAAGTTTGTCTGCCGACGAACTGGCAAAGAGGGAGAGCGAAGGCTCAGCAAACCAAAGGCGAGGGGTGTACGCAAAGTGCTCTCGAAGGTCGGCGGCCGAAAATATACGTAAGAGTAACGACCAAACCCAGAAGGCGGAACAAGAGCGAAATGCAAGACGACATCAACACGTTCAAGAAGACGAGAGATCTTTAGATATTAACGAAATCGAGAAACGCCTCTTCAAGAGACATCTTGCGCACGACGAGCGCTTCGACGATGTATCTTCGTTCGGTTGGGTCATCTGGTGTGAGAATGCCGTTGTGCATGATGTCGCTGCAGGTCGACTTGTTTTCAATCTCGGTCTCGTTATCATTTTCCTTATCGTCGTTTTCGTCATCATCACCTTGGATGTCGGATTCGTCATCCTTGAGATCCTTTGCGAATAGGCTGGTCACAGTCTCCGATGAAGCAGAAGAGCTATTCGAGCTAGGACGAGAGCTAGGAGAAAGGGAGGGACATCGAGAAGGCTCTTCCTTCTGGCTCCTGCGTCTGTGATCGTTATTACCGTTGAAGCTGAACAGCGCAGCGGCCATCTCAAGGTCATCCAACGCCTTCAAGTGATCACTCGTACCAATCGTATCAACACCTGCAGCACACGGAAACTCGTTATCCACATCACTTTGCCCGTCATCCTGTACGATAAGTCGAGGAATTTGAGTATGCAAAGTTCGTCGGAGGTCCTTGTTCTTCCATTTATCTTCCATCGATCGCGGAGAGTGGTTACTCTTTCCGTTTGGGACGTCCATAGGCAAACTCGGAGCATGAAGAACAGTAAGATCAAGACAGAACACATCGTCGGATGGGGCTCGCTTGACTCTAGGAGGTGTCGCTGTGGGCGTCGGTGTGCGACGTCGGTGAGGACGCGGCTTGTAAACGGAGGAGATCTCAATGTCGACATAATCGTCCCCAGCTGCCGAGTCATAGGACTGATCATTCGAGCTTACTCTCCGAGAACTCGGAACACTAATCCGATCGGACACGAAAACGCCGGGAGAAAGGCGCGCAGGCGACGTTCCAAATAACGACTCGTCATCCCCCTCAAGTGCAGAAAGCTCGGACTCTTCCTCAGCACCTACGCTCAATGGCGGCGTCTCGGCATAATCCGACACGCGCACTTTATTCATCCGCATCGCACCGTCAGCAATCTTGCCGCGACTACCGGAAGTCTTCACGGCCTCCACTACCGCCGGAGGGACTTCGATCTCTTTCACCACAATGACAGAAGCACCGATTTCACCGGCCATCTCTTCCAGTGTCTGCAGAGACTGCTCAAGATGCGTTCGAGAGAGGCCGACCAGTTGCCCAGAATCAGCTACACCCAGCTCATAATATGCCTGGCCGCCGCCTTCGAGCAAGCGCCACTTGAGCTGCGTAACGAGACGCGTAAATCGCTCCATGGAAGGGTTGAGGAGGCGCAACTTGTACTCGATATTGCCCTGCGAACGTGCGTCGTAACTCAGCTCTCACACTTTCTCATCGTACTTCTTTCATAGCGACGTACCTCCTCGACTTCCGGCACGAGTTTCGGAACAATCCTCGGGCTCCTTACTGGCTCAACAGCAGGAGATGCAGGATCGGACTTGACAAGAAAACCATCCCAAGGGCTCCCCGTGCGTGGGCTCTCGGACTCGGACTCCCCGAACATGCAATGCGGGATAGAAGGAAGGGGTGGGGGAGGAAAAGGAAAGGGAAGAAAATATCAGGTAAGAGAGAGAAAAAGGAGATATGCTGCTGAATGGCGGGGACTGAGACTATATTCGAGGTATCATTTCTTTGCAGGCAGCACGTCGTAGTACGAAGCAAAGCAAAGACGGCAGGCGGACAGCTACTTCAAATATACCACGGATGGATTATGTAATTGCTGACTCGTCTTGACTCAGTATTGCTTTGCAGTGCAGTGCAACAGTAACAGCAATCTATAAATCCTTACTTCCAATGCCTTGTACCTTTCATGACTAGCTCTCGACACATAGAGTTTTTAGGAACGAGAAAATGACGGGAAATGCAGATATATGAAAAAGGAACTAATCTAAACAAGAACAATCTGTTCATGGAATGTGCAAGTTAGAGGAAGAAGTATTGCACTGTCATATAGAAGTCCGTGTCAGAATTTAAAGTGGGAGGGATCTAGTGGCCAGTACCAATATGAAAGTAAAGTGAGAGCTGACAATGTTTTGCAAGACTCACTACCTTCAAATATTTAATAACATTGATGCCAAAAGCATTCTTGAACTCTGACATCAGGAAAAAGTCACATTTCTTGTAATTTAGACTTTGTAAAGTAACATATGTATTGTTTATACATTATAAAGTAATTGTAAGGCTTGTAATTGAATTGCACTGTTTAAATAAGACATATTAATGTATATAAAGACTACATAAGTACTAGAGATGAATAAAGTCTATTACATGTATTATACTAACTTTGTATAACAACCTAAAGTGTTATACTTGTATTATATTTAAATTATAATCTTAAAGAAAGAGTTGTATTTATAATATAATAATGTAATAATTACTATTGTTACCTTATAATTTATACAAAAGGTATATTAATGTATATTATTGTAAGCCTACTCTACAGCTTACAACAGCTTCTATACTGTTCTGTACCCCTCCTGGTGCAGAACCACATTTCTGAACCTAGACCTTCTCCCAAGCCTAGACCTCCTTAGTGTGGACCCTAGAGCTACACACATTTCCTCTTTTGTCTTCACACTATGTTTCCTTATTGTCTGAGTCACATACTCTTCATTCTTAAGTGTATACACTCTCCTTTTCTCTTTAGTATTGTTTTCCCCTTTAGGTATGAGCCACCTTTGTTTCATTTCTAGTATATATAGTTTCAATCTTTCACCTTTGTTACACTAGTTCTTATTCCTGACTGTAACAAAGGTAAGCTCTTACATATATATAGACTAGTTCTTATTTCTGACTATAATAAAGTAAACCCAGAACTTAACAGAACTTGTTTGTAACAGTGTTCAGTACTTCCCTAGTACTGTTCTACTTTTTTTTTAACATTAACAAAGTAGTCTTTATTGTACTACATGTTAGTAAGGTTCTCTCAACCTTCCTGAATGTCTCCTACTGTTAGTAAGGTTCCTCTAGCCTTTCTAAACACTCCCTACTGTTAGTAAGGCTCTCTAGCCTTTCTAAACACACTACTATAGTCTTGAAGCAAGTTTGGCTCTCTTCCTAACTATATATAACCAGGTCTTGTTTCCCCTAATACTAGGTATCTTTAGAAGCTACTATAGTTGCCCCTCTGTTAACTAGAGAAGCTGTATTTACTTTCTCTATACTACTACCATCCACAGTAACCCTAAGTTCAGATTCAGCAAGTAGCTTAGACTACTCAGAACTAGAAAGTAACACAAGTAAGCCACCCACCCTAAACTACTAGAAGACTACAATGTCCTGTACTGTATCTACTAAAGCTTAGATAGTCTGAGAAAGTATAACAAAGCCTCTAATACTGACCCTGAGTAAATTAACACTATACACTCTCTAGTCATAAATTTCTATGTTTTATAAGTATGTGTTTACTAAATCTGTCCTTACAACCTATATGGTTACAGTTGTAATAGGATGTTTACAGGACAGTAGACTGTACTAGTAGTGTGAGTATGACTAGCCTAGACTTGAAGGGCTTATACTAGACACATTCTATTAAGAGCTTTAGTGTGAAATACTCTCTATAGACTAGGTAGTACAAACCTAGAACAGACTACTAGTAATGTAGTAAGATGGTTGTAACTTCTAGGAATAGTAGCTATAAGTTACTAGGATCAACTTCAGTCTTCCAGAAGATTAGTACCTTGATCCTAATAGGCTTTACAAACTTCTTAAAGCTAACCTACACTCAGACCTCCAGTTTAAGCTTTGCTTCACACTTTCAAATTTGGTTCTAATACATTCTAAGCAGCTTACAACATATATAGAAAGGTTGTATGTAGTAACCTTAGTAAATAGTCAGATCCCTGACTCTACAGATCACCTCCCAACCCTAGAACCAGTTCTGGGAAAAGAAGTAACAGATTGTACCAGACTCTGTAAGTAGTTAAAACATGTGTGTAAACTGGCAGAACAGTTGGAAGTAGACTGTACAAAAGTTCACAACAGTGTAGAAGTAATACTTACAACAGAACAGGTCTGGAAGAAGGATCAGGAGAAGTAGTATACAGGAAAGGTTATCCCTACAATAGTCAGTCTAAAGACTGTCTTAGAAAGTACTGTAAAGTGTATCAGCTTGTTCTATACAGAGTGCTAGCTTCTGATAAAGAACCAGGAATGTTTCTAATACTACAAACCCTTCATAAATTATAGGAGGGACAGTTGCCTAATAGGTCTGCCTAAACTGGAAGACATAGTCTCTATTACAGAAGTATATATTAAGTCCTTATGTCTGAAGTAGAAGTCTGCTACTCCTGTACAAACAGAGTAGTCTATAGTACTAGAACCTATAAGTAGAGATGAATCCAAGTACATTCTGATTTCTGACTCCCTCCTATTTCTAGACTACTGTATCCTTATAGAAAGCAGTTCTACTCTAATCCAGATCTGACCTATGATTGACTCTGATTGTTCTTCAGTTCTGATTAATGAGAAACTAGTGTTCTGAATAAGTCTTAAGCAATTCCTACTCAAGAAACACATTATTATAACTCTAGTAATCAAATCAGTAAAAGAGTTAGGGAAACAGATTATAGAGTGAGTAAAACTACAGGTGTAGTTGGTGGATCAGAAATGGATGTCAAAGGTTGTAAAAGCTTGTATAGTTAATAACTTGTATAATGAAATGATTCTTAGTACACTCTTTCTCTGAAAGAATTGGATTATTATTAATATAGAAAGTTAGACAGTTATTCTAAAGAATTCTGACTATAATCTAATGAAAGCAGGAATTGCAGAACTGGTTTCTACCCTACAGTCAACTTACAGAACCTTAGAGCCTACACTAACTTTGACTACAACTGTTTAAGAGTGTATAGAAACCCTAGCTAGGTTAGAGAGATTTGAGACATTAGATAGGGAACTAAAGTAACAGTATTAGAACTGCTTTCTAAAGACAATACTACTAGTTGTAAAGCTTCCTAAAGGTGTCACTCATAAAATACAGTTTAAAGATCCCTCTAAGGTAGTAGCTGTACAATCTTACACTTGTCTACAAAAATACTGGGAGGCTTAGTACACACTCATTAATTAGTATACCTAGGCAGGTTGTTTACACAGGTCAGAAAGCCTGTATGTATCACCTGTGTTCCTCATCCTAAAGACAGATCCTGTAGAACTCTTGTAAATAGTATGTAATTATTAGGCCCTAAATAGTAACACAATCTACAATCATACTCTACTTCCCTACATTAATAAGATCATGAATAACACTATTCAAGAATACATATATACTAAGATTGACATGACTAATGTGTTCTTCCAAACATATATGAACCTAGAACATATTCTGCTTACTATAATTAGTACTCTGTTTAGGTTGTATAAATGAACAGTCATACTAATAGAGTTATACAATGTGCTAGCTACACAATAGTAGTAGGTTATAAAGGTACTAGAGCATCTTATTAGGAAAATCTGTCATGTCTACTTGGATGACATTATTATCTGGTTACAGTCTGAGGCAGAACACATTAGGAATATTAGAAAGGTTATGTAAGCACTCTATAATGAAGGGCTCATCTGTTTACAGAAGAAGACTAAGTTATTCTGTACAGAGGTTAAGTTCCTTAGACACCTGATTACTGTAAAGGGGACAGAAGCAGACCCAGACAAGGTTAAGAGTATCCTACAATAGCTACAGTCTTAGAGAGTAAAGGATGTCTGTAAATTCCTCAGACTGTTACACTATATTACAGTATACCTTCTACACCTAGCAGAACACACTATAGTTCTTTCCCTGTTCACAAGTAAGGATTGTGACAAGGTTTTTCCAGAATGGAAACCAGAACATTAGTAGGCCTTTAAAGCTATCAAGTCAATTGTTACTAGTAGAGAGTGTCTCACCTCTGTAGACTATGACTCAGGTGAGCAAATCTATATAACTATGAATGTGAGTGACTCTAGGACTGGAGCAGTTCTCAGTATTAGATCCTTATAGAAAACTGTAAGACCTGTAGCATTTGAGTCTAAGTAATACAATAGTGTACAGTGTAACTACCTAGTACACAAGTAGGAACTCCTTACAATTGTCTGCACCCTTAAGAAATAGTGTGTTTACCTCCTTAGAGTACATTTCCATGTCTATACTAATCATTGTACTCTCAAATACTTGGATACACAGTAGGATCTGTTTAGAAGACAAGCCTGGTGGATGGAGGAGCTCTCCTAGTATGACTACAAGTTACATTACATTAAGGGAGAGGAGAATACAGTCACAGATACAATTTCCTACTACTCAGACTTTGACTCTGACCTGGAAAACAGAAGTCCTGCTTAGAAAGCCTTAGGAGGGACAGCTATACAGATCTTTACAGATTCTAATCTCCTTACAATAATCAGGAATGGTTACAACATGAATAAATTCTGCTATAAACTGTGTACCAACCTTAGAAGTATAGAGGGAGCTTAGAAGGATTATAAGCTCCTATACTTAGACAACCAGTTAGTGATTCTGAGCACTGGAAATGTTTGCAAAACCTTGTACCACCTTGTATATAATGAACTAGGACATTTTGACACAGACAAAACATACTTTACCTTATACAACTTATACTATTAGCCTAATATACACTAGAATCTTGAGTGGAATTACATTCCTGGATACAATACATGTCAACAGAACAAGAACCTGACTGTAAAACCTATTGGCCTACTACACCTGCTTCTAGTCCTGAATGTGCATTTTAAGAGTATTACAATTGACTTTGTCAGACTACTACTAGAAGACAGTAGATACAATAGAATAGTAACAATGACAGATAGGTTAGGTAGAGCAGACATTAGAATTAAGTCTTGTAGGATAGACATGACAGTAGAGGAGT